TAAATGACCAATTGGAGCCCAGCCAAGGCTCCATAACTTGAAGGAAGAGGAGGAAGAGGAGGAGGAAGAGGAGGAGGAGGAGGAAGAGGTGGAGGAAGACGAGGAAGAGGAGGAGGAGGAGGCAAAGAAGACTATAATGAAGACAAAGAAGTTGCTGGAACAGAAACACTGTGCCCCTTGGCCATCTCCAAAAGTAGAAGGAAATGGTGACAGCAACCAGGCCTAAAGGCAAAGGGTCTTCCAGGGTATAGTGGCGCACGCCTTTAGCCTTAGCACTCGGGAGGCAGAGAGAGGCAGGCAGATCTCTGTGGGATCTGTAAGCCTGCTCTACATAATGAGTTCCAGGCCAGCTGGGGCTACAGGCAGACCCTATCTTAAAAAGACCAAAAAGAAAAATAAAATAAACAAAAAACTAAAAAAAAACCAAAAACAAAAAAATAAACAAAAAAGGCAAAGGGTCTTTTTTTAACTCAAGTTCAAGGCTTCCCAGGAGTTGCAAGAAGACTGGCAGAAGGTCAGAGTTTGGCTCACAGTCTTATTTTAACACCACTATAATACGTGTTAACACCAACTCGGAGTAAGTCGGAGTATACACAGCTTTGTGCTGCTATCTTTAAAACGGATCCTAGAGCAGGGCCTGTGACCCATGCCTGTAATCCCAGCTATGAGAGCAGCTGAGGCAGGAGGACCATAAGTTTGAAGTTACCCTGGGTATTTTAGCAAGACCCTTGCTAAAACCCTATCTCAAAAACAAAATTGAGGGGCTGGAGAGTTGGCTCAGCAGTTAAGAACACTGACTCTTCTTGCAGAAGACCAGGGTTCAAATCCCAGCACCCACGTGGCAGCTAACAACTGTCTGTAACTCCAGTCCCAGGGGATCCGACAGCCTCTTCTGACCTCCTGGGGCATTATTGCATGACCCAGGTGCACTTACCTACATGCAGGCAATACGCACATACACATTTAAAAAAAAAAAAAAAAACCTAAAAAACAAAATTGGGGATGTATCTCGGTAATAGAGCACTCACTTAGCATGTACCACCAAGCACTGAAAAGACTACTACATTCATTTATTTCACTCGTGTGTGTGTGTGATTAACTTGCATCCTCAATGCTCCACTGTGCCATCTCGCACCTCTGGACAAGTCTTGTGGCAGCCTGGAGAGGTTCAGCAGGCAAACACAACACAAACTAGAATCCAGGGCCACAAAAAAATACCCATTTTACAGGACTGTGGTGATGGCTCAGTCCATAGTGTGTCTGCAGTGCAAGCATGAGTTCAAAACCCACACAAAAGGCTGGACATGGTGGTGTGTGCTGTAACCCCAGTGCTGGGAAGGCAAGGTGACAGAGACAGGCAGATCCCTGAAGTTCATTGGCCAGCCAGCCTAGCTGAATCAAGAAATTTCAGGTTCAGTTAGAGACTTTTATTTATTTATTTACTTATTTATTTTTATTTTATGTATAAGTGTTTTGCCTGCATGTATATAAGTGCACCTCTTTTGTACAATGCCCATAGAGACCAGAAGGCGATGGATCCCTTGGAACTGGAGTTATAGATGGTTGCTAGCTGCCATGTGGGTGCTGGGAACTGAACCTGTGTCCTCTGCAAGAGTAGCCAGTGCTCTTAACCTCTAAGCCATTTCTCCAGTCCCCTCAGTCAGATTGTTTTTTCAATTCAATAAATAAAGATGGAGATAAGACACCTGACCGTCCACACACGTGCACACATCCATGCTAACAATACGGCATACACAAAACAAAAATAAAATTTTAAAAGTATCTGTTTTCTATAACTTGATTCTATGTCTCCTAAAAAAATTTCATTTTCAGGGATTCTCTGTATATCGTATGTACAGGTGTGTGCACATGCATGGTGGAAGTCAATGTCATTGTCTTCCTCCATTGCTCCCCACCGTTGTTTTTGAGACAAGGTCTCTCACTGAACCTGGAGCATGTCAATTCCAATAGATTGGCTAGCCAGCAAACCCCAAGAATCCCCCTGCCTCCACCTTCCCAGTCCTGGGATTACAGGTGTGGGTACCACCACCCTAGCTTTATATGTGGGTGCTGGGGACCAATTCAGGTCCTCACACGTTTTCAGTAAGCACTTTACCAACTGAGTCATCTTCCTAGTCCCTGGCATGTGTTTTTCAGGTGACTAAACCTACAAAGATGTTTAAAAACACACTCAAGACATACACCTCTGACTTCAAAATTCTAGAACAAAATAAAGTCTGAAATAAAGGCCCAGCTGGTCAGGCACCATACTCAGATATCCACATTAGGAATTAGCCACATGCTTTGCTACCCCAACTCCATTTCCAATACCCTTCAAACCAGGAGCTGAAGAGGAAAGGGAGGGAAGAAAAGGAAGCAGCCAAATATTCATTTGCACATGCTCCAACAGCTCCTGTGTGGTGATGGACGGTGTGTTTTATAGCAGTGACGTCATTGGGGTGAAAACCATCCAGTCTGCAAGGCTGGCTTCTGTCTTCGTGCTTTCAAGGTCTGTAATGACCTAACTACCAGAGTATGGAGACATGTAAGGACATGTCCTCAAAGAGACACCCACCATTCTCTAACATGGAAAGCTAGCACTGATAGCCAGCAGAGCGATTCTGGTGCTGTTTGCTAAGGCAGAAGAGAGCTCAGGATATGTTAAGTCTTGTCCACCCTTGTCATCCTCCCTCTGCAACATGGATAGAAAAGGGGCTGGAGGAAGGTGCCAGAATGGGGGTAGAACAGGCACCAAGCCTTTTTGTTAAAAAAAAAAATAAACGGGCTGAAGAGATGGCTCAGCAGTTAAGAGCAGGGGCTGCTCTTGCAGAGGACTGGGGTTTGATTCCCAGCACCCAGATGGCAGCTAACAACCACCCATAACTCCTGTTCCAAAGGATCCGACACCCTCTTCTGACCTCCATGAGCACTACACGACATGGGTGCACTTATGTACACGAAGGCAATACACTCATACAACATAAAATCAAAATAATAAAATAAAAATAAACAAAAGAAAGAAAAAAGTTTTACAACTGAACTGAAGTTCCCAGAAGGAAGGGAGGAGGAAAAAAAGGCTGCACCTGTGTTGAAGATTCTTCAAGGCCAAATAAATGACTGAACTTCCAGATTATAGAGAGTTAAAATGATGCAAATCAGAGCCAAATTATCTCGGGCTATTTTCAGTCCCCTTTGAAAAAAGCCATTCATTGCTCACCTAACATTCTCAGGACTATGAAAACTTCCAAACATACTCTTAGCTGACCATAAGTTCCCACAAACCCAAAAGCTAAGAATGTCACCAAGATCGCATCTGGGACCTAGAACAGAGTGCCCCCCACCCCTTGCTGTAACCCACCTACCTGTGGCCTGCACCAATGTATTTGGCAGCACTTTGATTTATATGATTTTGTTCTTTAATTAATAAAATCTCATGTAATCATTTCTACAGCGAAATACCGTATTTGGAGAAACTCACATCTATGTTCCCTGGTCAGTCACTCACATTTGGCTCCAGAATAAACTACATCTTATCCCCTTTGAGATGAGGGCTGTGGTTTTTGAGTGGAAAATATAGCTGCTTTTGAAATTTAAAAAGGAGATACTTGGCAGGCTGGGGATGCAGCTCAGGGGCAGAGCACCTACCTAGCATGCACAAGGCCCTGGGTTCACACTTCACCACTGCAAAAAAAACAAAAAACAAAAAACAAGCTCATATTTGAGCAATAATAACAGAATAACTATTGTTCTGAGATAATTTTATTCTATTGAACCAAGATGCCAGGAAATTCCTCCTATTGTGCCCCTCCCTCACCCCCAGCTTTTTCAATCATTTCTTGAACACCCACTGAGAACTGGGACAGGAATCCTCCATCCCAGTGCAAGCCCAGTGCCTAGGCAGTCTCCCATGGTCCCTTTCCAGGAAAAATGTAATCTTACAAGGCTCACAGTTCTAAGGCAAAAGGACACACTTTAGAAACAAAACACATTCACTGGGTAAGACAAATTAGGAAACTATTATCCAGATCGGGAAAAAAATACACGAATGAGAGGCCCCTAGACTTCAAGGGTATTTAACCCTATAGGACAGCACAGTAAGAGGAAAGTCTTGAACCGCTTAACTGGTTAAATACCAGTGTAGTGCGGAGGAGTGCGATGCAAAGCGGTTAGGCATCCCCAGGCTTTGGGAATAGCTGGCATCGGATTACACTTCAAAGCACTCTACCCCAGTCCTAAAATGCTGTCCTAGCCTTAGAATGCAGGGACAAAACTGGCACAGAAAATGATAAACCTCCCCCCGTGGCACCCGCCGCAAAAGGCCCTTTCTTTAGTAGGGAAGTTCAAGAAGACTGTGACTAAAAGCAGGAAGAAGGATGCACAACCCGGCACAAAGCCAGGGTGACTCGGAGGCGTCCCACAAAGCGGTGTCAAGGTGACGACGGGGTAGCCCACGACCTCCAGGGGGCAGGTGAGGCGGGCTAACATCCGGGGGTGGGGGCACAAGCATTTTCCCCCTTTATCCAATCCCGCCCCAAAGTGCTGGCTGGGGAAATCTGTGAAGTCGGGCAGGAGATCCGAGAGACTGGTCCAGAGGCTGTGGGCGCAGGCCAGGATGGCACCGGCTGGGGAAGTGGGCTGGGGCGGGGACCCCACACTGCAGGAGCAAAGGAGGCATGGCGGGATGGAGGGACAGAAAGGGTCCAAAGAGGGGATGTGGGCAGAGTGGGACCGAACGGGACAGCCGGCCTTGGGCGTCTCTGGGGACGGTCGAGGACGGAACAGCAGAAAGAGGAACAAAGTTGGCCAGGGCGAGTTGCGGGGCGCGCCGGATGGGAAGGCAGAAAGTTTGGGGGTCAGGCTCCGGGGACTTGCACCCGGGTCACCCACCCCCCACCCCCCA